ATATTTAGTTGAAGTGCGTATATTACATATATTATTTCAACGTCGTGTACGCACTTAACGCGCGTGCGGTTCACCTGTTCACATAGAGTCGTACRTATCGGCTGCCATATTGTTACTTGGCCAATGGCGTTCTCTCGTCCCGCACGCCACAGCGGTTTGTCGGACAATCGTTAAACGAGAAGGTAAAAGAAAACCGCGTCGACCCATTATTATACGATGCGCTTTGGTAATAATAACAATATACCTACCCGTCGTGTAATCGTATTATTATAATTTCTATGTATATTATAATAAGCGAATACATTCTCCCAACACACATAATATCACCAGAATTATTCGCATCAATATAATGTAATAGGTATATTATATGTATACATATTTGTGTATAAATAATATTATATCGATATGATATTGTGAATCCAGGTTTAGATATCCTGTACGCGGCGGTCGCGGAAGGAATTCTAAATTATACTGATTTGGCGTCGATTAATTTTTTTCGTCAATCGCAAACTTACCTATTATATATGACCTGCTGCAGCTGTGTAGATATACGCACGAACGCTCATGTCCTCGGGAAACTAGATCGTTTCCGAATATTGTTTACTTATAAATTATATAGCTACCAATAAGTAGTTGGTATGTATATATTATATATATATATATGTATTATAATGATTCATCATAATACCTGTGTAGACTCCGAGTAACGTATAGATATTTGTAGGACATATTGTTATCAACTAATACCTAGGTATCACCGTCGCGGTTGCGGCGTGTACCTTTTATGTATATAATATTATCTATACACAGCGGTGCCGGCAATCGTGTTTACGACTTCACTAGGAAACAGATTTGAACTCAAATTAAATTTTGTTCTGAATGTACGAAAACATTGCTTTCTAAGTATAAAGTTCATTTCATACTTCAAGGAATTAAAAAATGTCACTGTTCTTTACAGAATTCTTTTAAGAATTTTTTACTTTTTAGAGTATTTTTTGACATTTATTATGCATTTTTATGTTTTTAAGTCACTTTTGTAAAGGAATGGATAAAAGTTAAACTAAAATTCTTTCTAAAAGAATAAAATAAAATATTATTTACGTACTTCTACCGATTTTCTGGGTAAATATATAGAAGACGAATAATTAAATCATATACTAACAATTAATAAGAAAAAGAATCTATATAATAGAAAAACAAATTTTTTCAATGTTAAAAATAATTTTAASAGCACTTTATTGCATTTATTTTTTTAAATTCTATGAATGCATTCGTATTTTTTTAAAGGATTTTTCTTGTTTTTTAGAGCATTTTTAAATCCGTTCCTTTTTTTGTCATCGCATACCCATAAATGGGTGCACACCAGCGCGCGTGGTATACTATATATTGAGTATAATTAATCGTATCTTTGCTCGTCGCCGTTATTTTCTTCGCTGTATAGGTATAGGTACCCGTTGCTGCAGTGTGTGATGTATGTCTGTGGATTATCTCGAGTGGCTTGGCGGCTTATTTGAAAAACCTCGAGCGGCCCGAGATAACGTTTTGGAATTACAAAAACCTTATCCTATCAGTTGTCGTTGTACATATATATAGGTACAAACGCGCACAAAGAACAAGTCAAACATGTGTATATTCTGTATGTGTGTGTGTGCATGTGTGCGCATGTATACCTAGCTGTACATTGTATATGTGTATGAAAAGGTGAAAAAAATGTTAAAACCACAAAGCACACATGCACGAATAGACTGAACGAGATAACCGACCGAAGAGTATCTTCGTGTAGCTTACGTGGTCGTTTTTTACTTAATTTGTTCCACCGTTGCTTTAGGTATCTAAATATACCTATAGGTACATAAAATATATTATATATATGAATATAAAATATAATATTATGTAACAATATATTATATATATGAATATAAAATATAATATTATGTAACAATATATTATATATTATTTACATGAATTTCGTTCAGCAAAATTTTGTAGGTATGTACTATGTATACCTATCTACATATAGATATACACTATGCAATATACAGCATATACACACAAACACATAACTCACATATACACACATGCATGTATATACATATATATGTATATGGTGGTCAACCGTGACTTTCTGTTTTCTATCGGTCGCTCTGTAATTAGATGTCTATATATATATATAATGATATTTTATTTTTTATAATTTCTGAACGATTTGAATGATTTTTGTATTCAATCTATATGCAAGCGATGTGATTTCTAAATATTTTTAAATTTATATATTATGTATTTCATACAGATAATTCTTCTATACAGGAATAATGGAATAAATATATGCACTGCAACAAAATGGCGTCATGAACTTTATGAACCACAGTAGAGGCACCTATTAAAACTACCCGCCAATCTATTAATTTAAAACTGTTTTGTTAAATACGATTTACCTTGAAAAATTGACATAACATAAAGTTTTTAAAATATTATTCATTACAATTTGTAATTAAGAATGTTAATATTACCTATTATAATTATACAATTAATCATAACATTTTAGATGACACCATATACAGTATTAAAATTAATTATATTGTCATTTACATTTAAATTATTACATTCAAGTCAAAAGTTATAAATAGAGTCCGGATTTCAATGCCCAGTGCATACTTTTTTAGTTGATTTTATACAATGCTTTCCAAATACATAATTCGTTCCATGTAACGAGATTTTTAAAATTAAAAAGTTTATTTCGTAATTTTTGCATATTTCGACGTTTTTTCATTTTTCGCGCATTTTTAGATTTATTGGTTCATTTAAAATGACTCATTTTATTAGTTTTTATGCATATATTTATTCAATATACTATTTAAATTTAGCCCATTATATTAATTTTGGTATGTTTAGAATGAAAAATATTACCCCAAAACATGCGCGTCAACATTATAGCACCGCCATCAATTTCAGTCCAATAAAATTGACTATTCCCATTTTGTAGTTTATTTTTCTGAAAATATTGAAGTTTCAACATTTTGTTTTCATTAATTTCCTGATTTTTTTAACACCGTAATTTAAAATCCTAACCTAACCAAACACTTTCAATGCATCTTATAGTTATAATCATATTTTATTACTTCAAAACTAGAAAAAATATTAAAAATCAGGAAATTAATGAAAATAAAATGTTGAAACGTCAATATTTTCAAAAACAAAAAACAAATAAACTACAAAATGGCTATCTTTAATTTTTTTGGAAATAATTAAATAAAACATATTTTTTAAATTTTTTACCAAAACATTAAAATAAATTMAAAAATGAAATAATTGTAGTTCTTATCCCTGTGAGTCTTATTACAAAACCAGAATTTTAATATCTCCATTATTTCGTGAGACATCACAATGGGTAAATCCTAACGGGACACCCTTTATTGTGTCATTTAGAAGGTCATTTTTTTGATAAAATTCATTTTTAAGAGCATATTTGTATGGTAATAGGATGCATTTTAATCCGGGATGTAGTTACCTATGAATATAGGAATAATTACTCTAAAAAAGATGAATTGTGACATCACTATACGCTATACAACAGTTGTGCAAATAGTGTACTTGTTAAATTATATGCACCTGCAATAAGTTTTACATGACTATGGGTACCTATACTTACTTGGAAACGCTTTAACATACATTTTATTTTATTTTTTACCAAATAATTTTCATTACCTATTAAAATATGTGTTATGATACTAATAATACTAAACGAAGCGTATTCATATAATACATATGTGGGTACATATTACATTAATAACGTTCGCTGCTGCAGTGATTAAGTACACCGACTTAACGCGATATAGTAATGCCTTTAATACATTATACATATTATATAGGTATCTATATTATTAGTATACGATACAATTTTATAGTGTGGTCGTATTCGTGATCTACTGATGACTGATCATGTTTGTTTGTTATGGATTTTAAATTATCTAAATAAAACAAGAAACTCAATGTGTTACACTTATATAATGTAGGTATTGCTTCTCAAGTAAATTATAGCTTTACATAATAATTATGTACACAATCCACGGCGACCATCGCATCTGCAGAAATAATAACACGTTTGAATTCAACAATATGTATAACATAATAACAATATAATATAGTCATTGTGAGATGCCTAGCTATAGATATTTCAAGATATTCGAAAATAAATGTATAATAAATTGCTCAAACGAAAACTTATAATTCACGACTTCTACAAGCTTATAGTTCATTCTTCAATAAGGCCCATAATTTTCAGACACATTTATTGCATATATAAATACGTCGATGTACCTATATACATAATTATTATGTGTCATAATATTATAATATAATTAAAAAACTGTGTTATAAATGTTATAATATTGTAAAGTATTGATATTTAAGAACTAATAGTACCTACTGTTGTACTGGTTGTCATAAAGTTGTTATAGTGCGCCAAACGCGTTTGACCAATGGTGTACATTTTCAGAATAAAAACAAAAATAAAAATATACCTGATATAAATTAAATGAAACGAATTCACGTTACCCACAACGATGATGACGCGATAAAACGTATTACGATTAGTCGTACTCATATTTTATTTACCATACCTATGTGCCCACGTTGTGTCTTAAAATAAATCACCATGATTTATAAATTAATTTCAATTATTTTTATCTTTTTTTTATAGACGATCAATAAAATATCTATAAAACAATAATTAAAAGTCTCAGAAGATGGATCAATTAAATTGTATGTTGATGTTTATGTTTACCTTGCCGTGTTACCTAACCACATTAAGCGATTGTATAGACAATAAAAATGTCACATAGTACTTATGCACACCCGTGCCGCGGAAATTGCCACTAATTTATCATATTTATTTCACAGCAACAGCTCTTGTGTAAATTAATAAACTCGCACGTAGTTGTTAAAACTTCAATTCGTTGAACCTGTGGACTTAATAAATAATTTTTCTTTTTCCCATGCAGGTAGAACACGCACCAAAGATAAGTACAGGGTCGTATACACCGATTTGCAGCGCCTAGAACTCGAGAAGGAATTCCACTTTAACCGATACATCACGATTACAAGAAAAACCGAGCTGTCCAAAATGCTGAGCCTGTCTGAAAGACAAGTAAGTTAAACGTCTTATGAACTTATTTCTTTATGTTATACTCGTATATTAAATTTAAAAAAATTAAACGGCAGCGCAGGGGCGTCATTTCACATTTTTTCATGAGATGCAAAACCAATATTGAAAATCTAAAGTAATATCAAAGTTATTAGATACCAATGGACATATATAATATATGACCACGTGTGATAGTTAATATTAGGCATATTTCTCCCATAATAGTTCTAGGAAGGAAAATATAATATGTTAGGTGCTTATAAGAAATATAAATATAAAACTGTGAGAGGACATACAATTCGTAACTTTTTATACAATATGTTAAATCTATAATTTAAAGTTTTAGGGTATTATAACATTATAACTAGGGCTAGGATTAATATGCATTTGCATGTTTTTTTCCTTTAGTCCAAATTGATTGGTTGTCAGATTTGTCCACGATTTGGCTTATTCTCGTTTAAATCGGACCAATTTTTTTTTTTGCATATTTTTGCATATTTTGGACATAATGCATATAATTGCATATTCATAGATTTTTTTAGAATTCTATATTTTTTAACTGACATTTTTAATTTTTATAAGTATTGTTAATTTTAAATTGTACTTCGCGAAACCGAGAGTTTTTGGTTTATCTGTTGAATTTTCGTWAATATTTAGCGTAAATAGGTACTACCTATTTTATCTTATGTCAGATAATATCCGTTCGTTACCTTATCGTTGGTCGGACGACTGGTAGAATTACTTACACATTGTTATACAGTAAGATAGAACAGAAAAATTTTATTGGCACGTCGTGTGTTGCGTAAACGTGCAGACGTTTATAGGTACTTAATAATTTGAATGGTTTTAATAACAGTGTCCAGTATGCCGAAAGTTCAAAGTGAAAGTGCCAAGTTACGTCTAATTAAACTAATATTTAATGTAATAATATGAGCTAATAATAAGTAATAAAATATTATGAATTATAATAAATAATAATAAAAATTTGTTTTTGCATATTTTGGTAAATAAAATACATATTTTACAATTTTTTATTGCATATAAATCCTAGCCCTAATTATAACTGTTCGATACTAAATTTATAAATATAATATAATAATAATTTTTATTAATTTAAATATAAATAATAAATGTTATCAGAATACAACTAATAAGTAGATATTACTTGGTATATATGCTTTTTTTTATTCCTAGAAAGAAATATCATTCTCTGCAAATATAGATGTAGATATTAAATATTATTTTTAAATAGAATTATGTAAATATGATATATTTCATACAACAATTTCATTTGAAATTGATTACAACTAAATTCAACTGTGATAACTGCTATAATTGTTTAAAGTTTAGATAAGTGAAGTGGATGTATATACATATTGTTTGCAAGAATATTATCTGTATTAACAGTTAACACATTTTGCGTACCTACTGAGTTCTTCTAAATTCCTACTTCATGCAGCTAATATAATATTGTTATAAACATTTTTAAATGTTGTTAAAAAATATAATAAGATATCGCTTAAATATTATACATCACACACACATACTTATACTGCAATGTACTTTGGTATGAGGTTATTATTTATTTTTTTATTTCTTGGGTTATTTCTTGTATAATATTTTACTGGTTAACTTATATCCATATAAATTTCAGTAGTCGTGCTTAATTTAATTTTTTTTTTTCGTGTCATCCTGAACTGTGGGGAAGGAACTGTTGGTTTTTGGAACTCGTGGATGTTTTTGGAAAAATGTCGAATGGGCACCCATAGATTTCTGCCATGCTCGGGTGGAGGGCGGTGGCCTCTCTTTCCAGACAGCGTGAACTGTCTGTTAGCGATGCCGCCCATGATCGGGATTCGAACCGGTGACGGTGTGCGTCGCAACCGACGCCTTAATATGCCCGGCCATTACAACATACAAACATTTTCTGATTTTAAAGAGCCACTAAAAATTTTCATAATTTTTTAAAAATAATTTTATTTTTAAATTTTAATAGACATAACAATTCAATTTTACAGTTACGTACTAATTAATGGGTTACATCAATGGGAGCATTGGCTTTGCATGACTTTTGAAA